TTTGGGTCCAGCGCTGTGTGTAGAAGTTGGTGGTTTCCATGGAAGACGATGTCGTTTCTTGTGCGAGAAGTTGGTGCTTGACAGGAATAATCCGTGGTCCGCGCAGATTCAAAGGAGGCGATACCCGTTATCCGTCGGGTTGACTGGTATTGGATGACACGAGCGACTCTTGCTTAACCCCCAATAATAACGCAAAGAGAGAACATAGCTTGAGACATCAGTCCATGTGTATTTTCTTGATTAGATATCGACACGAAAATATATAGGACGCTTTGCGCATACAGGAACGTCGCAGTGTTGCACCAATCAATCAGATTGCGTCCATGACACTTCGATTGATCGATTGGACAAACATTGACTGATTCGTTCCAATCAGGCTTAGCTTTTCTGGAGCGTTGCAAACGTGCGTGTTGCCTGACTCGGAGGCGTGCGCAATCGGTCGGATTGCTTAAGCTTCGTCCTAACACCCTCAGCCTTGGCACTTAGCTCAATCCCGACAACAACAACACCACGAGCTTCGGATACCGAATCGCCTGACACATGAGGGGTGGAGCGTGAGTTTGGAGTTGGATCAGAAGAACGCAGGTAGATAATGGTAGGGTCCTGTATGCGTGTTTTGGGAGACACAAGATACATCTAAATTGAAAGTTCCAAGGGTTCTCGCTATGGCATCTTTTTGACTAGTCTTATTATATTTCATCACGAAACCAATTACAGAGAACTGTCAAATGTGCCACAACATATGAACTGAAAGAAATCTGAAGAATGTGTTCATAGTTTGTGTGGGCATATTACTTCCCGGTCGCCCTGGCCGAGGAAGGAGGATAGCCTCGGGGTCCTCACTCGAAGCCTTTGGCAAGGGAGCCAGACCTGCAAGACAACATTACGGAGCTCACAGTCTACAGTGCATTGGGGGTCGATATCCAGTTCACTGAATTATACGCCCTTCGGACGAGGTCAAATATTCAAGATGCCCAATATTTCTTGATGCCCACTCGAGCCGGTGACCACTGCTGCGACCAGGAAGGTGTGCGTGTGGTTCTTAAGCTTAATCTTATTTGGTTTGGAATCGGTTTTTAGCCAACTCCTTTAGGTGAGCTATCTATGGTTCACCAACCCGGTTATAGCCCTGGATGTCGACCTTTCGTCCTTTCACTTTGGTGAGAAAACACCGCCGCGGAAAAAGCAGTGAGTAGGGCTTCTTCAGCACAGGCTATCTGAGACGCTTGGTCATATTGGAGCTTTTCGCGAGGTGTAAAGGAATGGTGACTAGTCTCAATTCCAGACACCCCCCCCACGACCATACTGGGGCTTTCGGAGGCATAGAGTGTGTGATAGAGTGTACGGACCTAGAACGCTGCTAAGTGAAACGGGAGTTCTGGTTTCAAAAAATTCGTAACTTCTGTATGTTTCGCCTTACTGGTAAAACGCTGAGTGATATCCGATGGGTCTCGTAAACAGGCACCTGCCTTGGCCTGGGCAACGGTAACTATCCACCGTCGAGAGGAAGCCCCAGTTACCCCGCTCCTACGTCCATCCAGCGGGGGATTTTGACCAGTAAACTGCCCCTCACCGTTGGTATTGTATTGGTCGGGGTGACCTCTCCCGGGGCAAGTGGAGATAGACGAAGAAAGCCATGGGGTGCCTTGTGGGACTTCCTCTAGGTTCTACTCGTTGATCTTGCAGGTATTATTGTATATGCTGCTGTGAGCAGCCATCCTGTATAGTTCGCAGTCATGGAGGCACGCAAGCCATCACACCGCGTCAAATTACAGTATTTGTATTAATGAAATAACTATGGTGGAAGATCAGTATTACCGATGACATTGGGGTCCTGTAATTTACCTTACTTTTTTGTGGAAGTATAAGTCAATTTTGTGTTTTATTCCATAAAGATCCTTGAGATTCTGATACAGAGTAATCCACACTTTCACTTTTGTTTTTGTTTCGAGGGTGTCTTTGACAATCAAGTGCCTTTTATAAGGCGATGTTTGTGTTGACTGCGGTATTCTTTTGTGGCAAGGTAGATTTCTACGCATTTTTTTGTATATTTTTATTGTAGGCAAAAATGTACCACCCCATGGGGTGTCATTACTGATCGTCTGTCACTGCTTATTCATGGGCTACCACGTAGGTGGTTTTCCTCCTCTACTAGCGGGGTACATCTCCGTCGATTGTGTGCTCTAGTCACATTACTTTTTTCCTGAAAAGTGGTATGTGAAATCCAACGAAAAGTACAGAGGAACTGTTCTGAACCTGAATATTGACGTGGTGAATATTGACTGAGGTTATTAATTTCCCATCCGTCACATTCCCATTTCCGCCTTTTTGTTGATCATTTGTGCGTTTTGAACTTGACTTGCGATTCTTTCCATCGATACACGTAGAGCTAGGGAAACCTAATAATCCGATATTTGTCTTTTTTTATGCAGGGCATGATGGCACAATCATGCTCATCACTGGATCGACCGGTTGTGGAAAAACCACTCATCTTGCGGCTCTGGCAATGTGTTTGTTCAAACGACATTGGATTCCACCACAAGGGAAATCAGATCAAGAGTTTGATATGAGCGATCCACGTTCAAGGCTTTTGACTCGAACCACGACTACAGTGAATGTCTCTGTGCGCCCTACATTCCCCAAACATCAAATTTTCGTGCACTTCACGGACGGTCTCGCTCTTACTGGACTGCCCCCGAAAACACAACTAATCTCGCTAGTGAACGATTGGACGGATCAGTTATTTGAAGAAATCGAAAAAGCTGCTCAGGTATCTGGTATTGTGGCTAAAAGATTAAACGAAATTCGCGGTGAAACCCAACAATTCTCAACTGGCGAAAAAGACGCGTTGCTCAAGTAAGTAAAGTAGTGAAATTACTCACTCATCGAGTCAGTAAGGTTGTCAAAGAAAAGATTTTACTAGTTTCCTACCTGAAATATGCATCTATATGAATTTCAACGCCTTATCAGTCTCTCTAGAACACACAATCATCTTTTTTCTCTATTCTAGGATGAATGATCATGAAATACTTTCACCCAACTACATTTTTAAGATGCTTTAAGCAAATCTTGTTCTAACAGGTTTTCAAGAGCAGTACTCTGGGGAAATGGGCAATAAATTGCTTCGCAACCAAAGGTATCGTGATTTGGTGGGTTGTGAAAAAGTTATTTCATTAACTTTTCAGTTTGGTTGAGGAAAAAACTATCAATCCATCTCATTCCTACTTTTTGCCTGATCTGACTCACTGAGAAGTTTCTCATTTTTTTCTGTTTGCTTCGGAGTGTGGAAATGATATCGTTACGTGAATGGTAAACATGTAACCTCACGTGAACTCTAGTAAACCAAGACTTGACTGTTTCAGTTTCAGCTTGAACAGCTATTAACGATGTACTCTCGTGTAGTGGTTGATTGCTGTCTTTTTGATACCAATTTGAATGAGGCAGTGGAGCGAAGATTGGAATGTCAGAAGCAGTGTCAATATGAACATGGAGATTTCGGTTGACTAAGGTTGCAAAGAGATTGGGTAGATGAATGAGTGACACTGAACCATATCACTCAATTTCTTTAACCCTGGATTACACTAATCCCCAACCAGGAAACCTAACGTGAGCGAGCCTCCTGGTAAGTGTTTTCATACCCTCATGCCTGATTTAAGTTTGATCACTATTGATCTTCCACCTACCAACCTCCTCGGCAAACATGATATGCCGTGGTAGTTCATTTGATGCCATGCGTAACGTATGCTCGAGTCAGCATAATCTATGGAATTTTAGCATTTGCTTCAGTGCGCCACCGCGATTGCCTATGATTCTGCGCCCAACATTTCGTGTCTGTTTCCTCCTTCCGACTTGTGCAATTCGGCGTATTTAGGTTCGTCTGAACACTGACGGCCCATCTTTATCCTGTTCATCGAGCGACTAAGTGTCTGCATCATAACATGGCACCGCCCAAATTACTCAAGTGAACCACTAACATTCAAAGACAGTAGGATGCGTTGACGATAACGCAATTGTCCAAAGTTGTCAAACGCAAACCCAGCTTTTAGTGCTCGTACCAAATCTTCGCCCGGCATTTTCCACCCACAAGGTTGGTCCTAATCCAGTGCTGTAATAACATTTTACACTTTGGAGGTACCAGATGCATTCCGAACGTGGTTGCAGTACCACATTGACCATACAAAAAGGGCGCACTTCACCTCGATCTTTATTTATAAGTACAGTGTCGTTTGCATACTCTCGACCAGAAAACTTAACACATGGACGCACATCAATACAACACGGAGACAAATTACACTTTGAACTTCCAAAATGCATACCAAACATAAATACACTAGTACTAGAACTATCCAGAAAGGCTCCTGGGCGGTATTGGAATAAATTTGACATTGAACTTGACCCCTCCAGAGACTGCATAAACGTGAAAAAATAATATTTACCTAGGTCTGAAAAGATATACCAACCGTCATCTGTGAAAAATCTAACTTCCACGAATGCATTTTGAGAGTGACGGTTACCGGAAACCTCCCTGATCAGTGCTAAACATTTTGGTGTGTGCAGGAGAACAGTAACAAGGCACTCAGTATTTAATTCCGTCCTAACTCGTCAGGCAGGGTGAATATTTATTTCTTTTGACAGGTAAAACAAAATTCATTAGTAAACTAGCTCAGTCGATAAGCTTTCACCATATGCTGAATTACTCGTTGACCAACAGTAACATAAACCCATTCATTGCCCATTGGACAGGCGACGCGATTTGAATTTGTTGGTAAAATCAAACCGTGCTCTGCTTTGTTGGACATTCGATAACGGTTTTATATCACGCGGCCTCAGCTGCACTTTAAATTGGGCCATCATTTTCCAAATGAAAGCGTGAGGATGAAACGGCTAATCGGCCCGGACTATCCTTCCGATTGGTTTTCTGCAACTCTTCGCTGCTGCGATCGAATACAACCATCGTCTTGCTTCGCTGTGATCGGGGTCCTCTTGGTTTAAGTCTTAATGGAGATATTTCGTTGAGTGTGCAACAAATTTGACGTATGTTTTCATAACGAAGCACTTCCACTAGACACCAACAGGAACATCGGATATATGTGCTTCTCGATTAGGTTGAGTCTAGGCCTCGATTATGCTTATTCAGCGAGCCACACACCTCAAGGTCCACTTTTGAGGATCCACTTGTATGTTTTTTGGACTATGTTTTCAGTTTTTTCAGTGTTATAGATAATGCGTGCTTAGTTTGTAGCCAAGTAATTTATCAATTTATGTGAATAATAAAGTCAAAGTTTTATTATGAGCATTACTTACAAGCAGATACTTTTCTTGTCCCATAGGGTGTGAACACGAATTGAATTGTAACAGTGATGAACATATTTCTATATGCTGCATTTGGTTGTGTTTTGTGTTCTCATGAATTTGGGAATGTGTGTTAATGATTCGCCAAGTTTTACCTTGAAAGAATCAAGCGTTCAAACAAATTTACCCAGTGTTGGAAATTAGGTTATTTTGACGAAATCACTTCCTGGGTGTACGAATGAAAAGACATAAGACTACCAAATACACATTTCTTATCAGTGGCAAGTAACGCGAAACCGGTCGTGTGCTGTCCAATCGTTCATATATCATCACATGTATATAAGTTCTGCTTTTTGTTCCATTTCTTCTAGCACCAGTCATTTCTCAACTGTATTGTTTTTCGTTATTGCGAATAACAGGGCAAAGATGCGCTGTCTTTCCAAGCTAATCAGCCTCCTGGAAGTGTTCTCCAATCGACACTATGCGTTCCTTTTGGATGCAGCAAATCAGATACAACCACCACTACTCGATTGGATACCGACTGTCCTACCACCGGTATGTTGAATGCTTTCAAAATTTATATCTGCATCGCCATCCTTACTTTTTCAACCTGTGAAAAAAAGGGCTGCATTTGATTATTTTTTCTCTTGACGATTTGCGGCGTTTTGATACTACCTATATATTATCTAGCTTTTGCATTTTAAATATGATGCATATTCGATCATCTAGCAGATGCCCATCAGGTAGAAACACAACCAGTTAATTACAATTGGGTGAACAAATTTTCGTTTAAATCCGTTAGTTACTTTTTCAGCTCGGCTACTCTTTGCAAAGTATGGGTTTTACGCGCGAAATATCTCTTGATCTTAAACTGTACACTTCGAGATGCATAAGACCTTTATCTGGCTTTCCTGATGACTCTCTCTCTCTCTCTCTCTCTCTCTATATATATATATATATATATATATATATATATA